CAAAGGCAAAGTCTAATTTACTCAATTATTAATTCATAATTGTAGAAGTCAGATTTAATTCCTAATTGTAATATCCTATTTTGAGCAATATTTTTTTAGGACATGATCTGCAACCTGAATTTTAGAAACCTATTCAATAATATCATATCATTTGGAAGATAATAAGTTCAAATTAACTCCCATATTTCAGAATTTTATTTATCTAAAACAAACAGATTACTATTAAATATTGGCTATTTTGTTAACTCAGAGCATCTGGGAAAACACTTATGATTAAGTTAATTTATGTTATATTTTCTCCTCAACTTGTAAAAGATTAATCAACCATTTTATGGTCTAATTTAGGTGCCTAATTAAAAACAGAGCTCAACACATGCTACACTGTCTTGCTAATAAATCTCGACAGCTTTGTAACATGATGGTTTGTATTTCAAATTGTTGCATGTAAATGTAGATTTCTGATCTTCACCTAGCAGCCAGAAGCAAGCTACATACTTAGTTTAAACTCCGGGACTAAGAAAGTGCAATTACTTCAAAAAGGATTAGCCCCAATCAGATCTTATCTTAAACTTCCTGCAGTAAAGACAGAAGCTATCTTTGCCAGCCCATTGCATTTTTTTTTTTAAAAGACTAGGAAAATAGGGAAGAATTTTATGCTCTCTGCATTTGTTAAAAAATGGAGGGACGCTCACTATTCCCTACTTTGAAGTTTTTGAGAGATTTCTTAAGTTACTTGGTCTTCAGATCGAATTCTAAACAAAACTACTCAGGAGTTAGTTAGGCTTGTCTTCTGATTACTAAACACACGTTCTCAATCTTAATTTGGGGTGGGGGGGACTGTTTCAAATGACTAAATTCATGAATCCTAAGAAGGTTTGGAATATCTCCTATAGCTTGTGTCCTCCCATACTTCCCAGCCTTAAAAAGGGCAATGAAAGAGCAAATCGGCTCCCAGCAGGGACTCTCCCTGTGTGTTCACAACCTTTCTACCTAAGAAACACGGTTCTCATTTTAATGACTTCTCTGCCTGTAAGTGTCCAGTGCAACAGAGAAATAAAACTGTCATTGCTGTGTTGGCAGAAGTGTCCTCACCCATTTGTACATCAGAAAATTCTAACTCTTAAGGCAAGCCCAGTTTGGAACTCATCTGTGACCAACCTCACATGCTGGTCACTTAAGGAAAGAAGCATGGCACAGAGCCACCTCCTCACGCGACCTCCGTATCAGGACTGCATGAGTTGATATTTTAGCCTTGCCAGTAGAAAATGAGAGCACTGGGCAAGTTGTTAAACTTCTTCTCAGTGCCTGTGGTTCCTCGTCTATAAAACTACCTACTTTGTAGGATTATAATTAGGATTAAATTTGCTAATCCTACACTATTTGAAACAGTTCCTGATACACAGAAAAAGGTTTCAGAAACTGCTAACTACCAACATTATTAAACCACACACAAAATATTTTTTAATGGGTGACATTATTACAGTATCAGCGTACACAGCCAACAATGGGGAGAAGAGTCAAGATGGGGCAGAGTTCCTGCCACTGTAAAGTCTAAGGCATATTTCTACATAAAAATAATAATCATAATATTTGGCTCACTGAAGTCATTAAAATTCATGAAAATACCAAGTTTTAGCCAAAGCAAAATGAGAGACTTCTAAGAGATTGTATGAATTTGATTTTCAACTATTCAAAGTTTAAATCAGAGCCCAAATGGATGGATGGATGCTTTCTCCACTTCTGCACATGTAAGCTTCTGAATGATAGCAAAGCCCATCAACCCGCAGATGAGAAAGGCCAATTTCACCAAAAGTTTGAAGTCATTGGTGAGGTCCTCACAAGCACCTGCTAAACTGGGGAGACCTGACTTGAGAGGGAGCTGGATAATAAACCGGAAAAGTAAGTCTATGAGAGTGTTAACCGCAGGCTAAGTCATACCCCGGTTCTGGGGCAAATGAGGAACAGTTAGTATTAGCACATTTGATTTTCACTGAGGATAAGGCAGCAGAAAATCTGCTTTCCAGGCTTTTGGGAGGTCAGCTCTGCCTGGCCACCACGATGGGCTCGGACACCAACAATTCCAAGACTAAGGCAGACGGTGTCTCATTCTGCCAAATGAAAGTGCAATAAAATTCCGGGACATCATGCAAATTCATCCAGGCCCTGGGCTACTGGCTGGCCACTAGCAGGACTGTGTCTCAACCGATTGAACACATTAACCACTTGTTCAGAGGGCTAACATCTCATTCTCCAGCCTATTACCATGCTGACTCTCTAGTCAAGCATCTGTGCCCCTAGTTATTCAAAACTTTTCAAAGGGTCGAAATGTCCTCCAAAAGTCTCCTCTCTCTAATCGTCTAGTTTTGAGGGCTTGTTTTAACTACGTTTCTGAACTGTAATTCTCCGCTTAATTATTATTTATACCCTCTGCAATCTGCTGCCAGATTGCTCTCATGGAGCGGAAGATGAGCGTGGGGCACATCTCTGGCGAGCAGCGGGATTTGGGCCAGCATGAGAGAACTCCAGCCTGGGTGAAGGGTGTTTCCGAGGCGCCAGATTTGGGGAAGAGCATTCAGGGTTAGTCATCTCCCGCTGTGGTTTGCTTAAAGTTAAAATGACCACCTTCAAAATAATAAATCCGTAATTTGCCCAGACATCCAGATTATTCCTCATTAATTAAAATTTTTTAAACAGAAGGCATTTAAAAGAGGTTTCTTTGCCCCCTGCATAATACCTACTAACTCTGAGGCCACGCCCGGCGCCGCAGCCGCTGCCGGGGAACTCAGTGAGTGGCAAGTCGGGGGTTTGTAGTTCGTTACTCTGTCGAGGGCCTGTCACTGCCGCGGGTTCTGGGCCTCCAGCCCCAGAGCCCGCTCTTCAGTTGGAGGCTCAGGACAATGACAAGGTGCCCGCCCCGCACTCCCCAGCTACCTCCCTGTGACCCCCAAGTCCAGTCTCCAGGTCTCCCGGAGCCTGTCCCGCGCGAAGCTCCCTGGCGGCGCCCAGGCGGCAGGAGCACGATGAAGCTTTCCGGTGTGACTTCGTAATTCTGTGTTTCGGAGTCGATCAAAAAGAACGTGGCAGGTGGAGGGCAGCCGCCTAAGAGATTGCGTGAATCTTCCTGTGGGGATTTCCACCGCCAGCCCCAGGCGCTTCTAAAATCGCCCGACATTAAGGATTCAGTTCTTTCCCTGCCAGTTCCTCCCAACCCGGCCCTACTGTGTCTGATCTCAGAAAATCCCGGCTGCCTCCGGCCTCGGGTGAGTTCCCCCTAGAAGGGCGCTAGTTATAGTCTGCCATCTGGGCCCCTGGAAATCATCTTCCCAGGAAGAGGAGGAGTGGTGGTGGCAGAAGTAATAACAATACAACGGATGACAATGGAAACAATTAGAGAGGCCCCACTTGCCTCCCAGGCACCTGACCGCGCCAACGCGTTCTTTCTGTCTGCCCTGCAAAGAAGCAAACCACCCCACTGCACAGATGGAAGCGCTGAGGTCCCAGCAAGTCAGCAGCTAGAGCCAGAAAGCAAGTCTACACTTTAGATTTCAGAGCCACCCCACCCCCACCCCACCCCCAACCCCTTAACAATCGGCGGGGAACTTTGGAAAGAGTGACTGTCGCGGCTGGCTAAACCTCGAGACTAGGGCAATTCCTGACAATGAAAACATTAAGGACAAAGGGGAGAGAGAGTCTGAGAAGCAGGCGGTTTTAATCCGCTGGGGCAGTCCCCTTTTATCTTCCATCGTCTCCCAGTCCCAAAAGGGGGTGGGGGTGGGGTGGGGGCAGGGAGTGGGATTCTGTTCCACTCTCCGCTTTCTTCTTAAGACTCCAGCCCCTTGGAGGCTAACTGGGCTGGATGAGGGACTTGAGGGAGTGATTGTGGAAGTGGTGTTGTGACAGGAGAGAACGCAAGGAAGACGGTGGCCTGTCCCAGGCTTCCACAATGCCAGAGTCAGAACCCCAGCCCACCAGCCTTTCAGAAGTTCGGTCGAACACCATTTCACCCCAAAAGGCCACCAGGGAAACCTCGGGCAGACGTCGTGATTATGACCCCGAAGGAGTAGACACTTGGAACCCGGGCTCACACCGCGACCCAAGAATCGAGTTTCAGAAAGCCCCAGCTGCATTTCTCAATCAACCGACACAATGTTCTTTGGGTCCCAAAGTGTAAAGGGCCGGGCGTGCGTTCCTAACGCTTGCTCTTCCAGCACCGGGTCTGGGAGGCGGAACTGGAGGGCCGCGCCCCGGGTGCCGAGAAGCCTTCAAAGCAATGAGCCGCGCTTCGCCGCTGCAGTGCGCGCCTTTGCCCGACAGGGACCAGCACCGCTCCACGCTCAGCGCGCCGCGCGCCCGCCTGCCAGACAGAGGCGCAGGGCCACCCGCCCAGCTTGTACTTTAGAACCCAAACTAATTGCGAGGAAGTGGTTCTGAGTCTCCTCCGGTTCCAGCAAAAGGAGGGCTGTTCCCCCAAAGTTAGCAGCCTCCCCGCGGCATCGGCAGGACGCCGTCGCCCCCACACCCTATCCCCATCTGGAGACCAGAAGCTGGTCTATTAAGTTAGTCTAACGCCGAGACCGCGACCAACCAGGCACAGAACGTCCCGGGCTTGCAAAGGAAAATCTAATACTTTCGGGACACGGCCGCAATAGACAGGGTTCTGCGTTACCCTGCGTAACACCGTCCCAGTCGCTGACCCCCTTCGTTAAGAGGAACTTGTTTGAGTAACTCCAGGGCCACTCTGGTCCACTTTCACGCCAGAGCTCCTCGAGATGTTTCTATGGGTCCTTGGAGAGCGAGGAGCCCCAAGCACCTGGCACAGAGCTGGGGCAGAATTCGAGGCTCTGCCAGCCAGGAATCACCGCGCGGTGCTTCCCCCACCCCTCCCGCCCGCGGTGGTCCTAGTACCACTGTCACTTTCTCGGCACATGCCAACTCTCCCTCTTCCTTCGCTCCGGATGGTGACTGGTACCCGTGCCCCTAGCTACGGAGGGGAAACTCACCGGTACCAAGCGAGGCCCTTATCATAGCTGCGGTCGAAGAAGTGGGGTTCCGCTCCTACCGCACGCACGTCGGGGTGCACGCGCAGGAACTCGAGCAGCGCCCGCGTGCCGCCTTTCTTCACGCCGATGATGATGGCCTGCGGCAGCTGTTTGCTCCCAGACCCACTGAAGAAGCTCGAGATGGGGCTGGGGGCATCCGGCGCCTCGGGACTTTGCTCCTCCTGACTCGCGGCGCCCTCCGCCGTCTCCTTGCCCTCAGCCAGCGGCGTGGCTGGAGCTGCTGGGAACGGCAGCCTAGGAGGAGTCCCGTCCGAACCCGTGGCCAGGGCCGGCGAGGTGTGGGCCGTGCGGGCCCCGGAGCCCAGCAGCAGCAGCCCGGGCGCCGCGGCGCACGAGCCGGCGCACGAGTACAGGAACATATAGAGCCAGACGCAGAGCATGGCGAAGAGCAGCGCGAGCTTCCTCCTCACCGGCGGCGTGGGCGGCGGCTGCTGCGGCAGGAGCCGACCCGGGACATCGAGACTGGATCGGTCGCCGCTCAGGCGCTGCCCCATGCGCTGCGGGCGGGCGCGGCGAGGGGCATGTCTCAGCACATGGCGCGGGTCCCGCCGGAGCAGTGAGCGCCCAGAGTTCCCTAGCCCGCTGGACGCCTGGTGCGTTCAATTTATTGCCCCTGCGCGGCCGCCGCCGCCGCCGCCGCTGCCGCTGCTCTTCCCCAGGTGGAGGCCGCAGCTGTAGAGGCGGCGGCTTTTGACATGTTGCCCTGGGGGAGCAGCAACTAGAACGGAAAGTCGGGTGGCGGCAACTGCTGGCCAAGAGACTACTCCTCCGGTGGCACGACCTGCTCGGGGCCAGGAGAATGCTGCAGTCCGCGCCCGGGCCACTTTAGACGGTGCGCACCCCACTCGCCGGGACTGCCTGCTCGCAGTCGGAGCACTGAGCCTGGAGAGAGCAGCCTTGGTACTTCCCAGCCGAGGCTGCGAAGAACTGCGCAGGAAGAGCGCGCCGGACCGAGGGGGAGTGGGCGGGCCCGGGCTTCCGGAGTGACGGGTTGCGCCACCTACCAGAAAACGGGAGCATCATGCAAATACAAGCGCTTAGCTAAGGGTTCTGCAGCCAACCAGCTCCCGGAACGTGGGGGTGTGGAAAGACTTTGGGGCGGTGGAGAGCGATTCTGAGCTTTTATTGGCCGAGGTTTCAGGAGGTGGGCTCAGAGGGGTGGGGCCAGGGACTGGTGACAGGAGCAGATGATGAGAAGGATGCTGTAGTGACCCAGTGCTGGGAGAGGTCCGACCCCATCAAGTGTGGCGCTCGGTCACCCGCGCGTGCATTTCCGTACTCACTCCCAGGAAGCCAGCTTTGGCTGTAGTGGCCCAGATAGCAGGCCGAGAGTTCCCATTCCCATCCAGATGTTGTGCATGAGGATTCGTGTGTGCGTGTGTGTGTGCGCGCGTGCTTGTGTGTGGTGAGAATCTGGTCCGATGCGTACAGCCCACGAGCTCACCAGCGGAGGGGAGCCTTTCCAGGACAAGAACCGGTTTCGGGAGCTTGGGAGAAAACGTGTTGGGAAATCATTACCAACTTTTTCTTGAAGTTTTCTTCTTTATTCCTTGTCAGGGGTTGATCTCTCTCGGACTGCCGGATAGTTGGCATGGTGTAAACTGTCCTTAGGGAAAATCTTCCCTGCTTCCCAAATAACTGAGAAAGGTCAGGGGAGAGAAAGGAAAAATAAACAAGGAGATCGGGGCTGGCAAAAAGTTTCTTGGTCGAAAGTGAGTGTGAGAGTCATTCTGAATATGAATACGAGTGGAGGACATTGTGTTTAAGATAATGTTCTTTCCGTCTTTCTTTTTCTCTGAATAAATATTAAAGCCACATTCACCGTCATTTTAGGAAACTCTTGGTGGACCTGTTACTATAATTATCAGTTGCATTTTTTTTTTTTTTTGCTACTGATTTTGTAAAGTCAAACGTCAATCTGAAGCAAATCGATCACTGAGTTACACTTACTTCATTGTCAAGTTCTATCCAAAGCTGATCTTGCTTCTTCTTTTCCGTCAAATGACGTTTCTGGAAGTAGAGACAGAGGAGCTAAACTCCCCCGAAACTACAACCGCTTGCTGCGGAAAGTTGAGTCAAAAGGCGGCGCGCCCTGCTGAATTCTTGCCTCGCGTTTGAAGCTGGGAGGCATGGGATACTAAAGTTCATTACCACCGCCCTCCAGAAAGTTTTCAAAGCCTGCAACCTGGCTCCAGAGGGCCTCCAACGCCTGGCTGGCTGCGCGTGGTTCCGGCACAGAACTTTCCTTCCGATTCCGACCCCACTAAGGCCCCCCGGGGCTGAGTGTCGCCCACGAGGTGACTCACCGCCTGCCACCAACCGTGCAATATTTCACTGTCCGCACCAGCCAGCAGGCGGGACCGACCTGAGCCAGGGCCCCTTCGCCGCGCGGTCTGAAGAGAACGTCCCTCCGCCAGCTGCGCTCTCACTCTCTTCCTGAGTGAAAGTCCGCAAGTGTCACGACTCCAGAGCCCTGCTTTGTGTCCGGGTCCACAGCCGGGAGTAAACCGAGGAAGCCCGTCAGCATTTTGCACCGCGGCTTCGAAAATAAGGCAGAGGGCGGCGGCGTTGACCCTGGAGGATTCAACACCCCACCCGTGCACCCCGACGGTGCTTTCAGGGACCTTGAGCACAAAACGTTTTCCTCCAGAACAGTTGAGGGGGAAATAATTTAGGCGGAGAAGTTTGCTTTGCTTTTTAAATTTGCAGAAAACGTTCTTTCCAGGTTCTTTCCCCTCTCATGCTTATTCTTCGGAAGCGATTTTAAAATTTAATTGGCTATTCATTTAGTTTAAACTGTTAACACAAAAAAATATTATTCTAAGCACTGACCTGATGCTTGATTTTGGAAGAGAGCGGGAACTGTTAGAGTCTCTGAAGGGTGTGTCTTCACATTCAAGTTATTTCGGGGGGAATGAAGTTACTGTGTTCCATCTTTGGGCGTCCATGAGTTATTGACTCTTGTGGATGGTGGCGGAGGTTAATGATGGGTGTGTTCAGGCTAACTCGAGTGCCCATGTTCAACTTCGGGCCTTCCTGGCTGTGAATCTTAATAGATTTTTTGTTTGCTTTTCAAACGATTTTGATTATGCTGATAAAAGTGGTGTTTATCCCTGAGGATTAGCGAAGTCCAGCATGAAACTGAAAAAGTGAGCGATTACAAATCGACACGGCCGGGTACGTTTAGGATTGTTTTTCCGGAGGGGGGGGGGAATGTGAGGGGGGTGACAGGAGCTTGTGGAAGGGAAGATGTGGATATCTATCGGAAATTGCCCGGATTGCTCAGCAAAGCTAAGCGCCCCAGAGCCAATTAGCCGCCAGAGCTCACCTCGCTCGTTTTCAAGCCCAGTCAAGAAGACAATGGGGGAGTTCACAGTGCCCACCGCGCTCGGGGTTTCTGCCGCCAGAGGTCGGCAGGTCATCTGGGGCTGGGCAGATCCGGCACTCTCTGGGGGTGGCAGCGGAACGGAACCTGGACAGCTACCCGACGCTCAGGCTCTGTTTAGGCTGGTCTGGGCGCTGCTTTCTATAGCCAGCTGCACGGGGGAAATGTCCAGGTGCCGCGCTGACCTGGCCAAATGCTTTCTCTCATAGCCCCATTCTGCAGATGCTGAAGTCAATGCTCTACCCTGAACAGTGCTGGTGAGGCAACTGACCAGGAACCCAGTTTACCGTTGCTCAGCAGTGCAGGGGACCCCACACCTGAGCCTGGCACCACTAAGCGGCCACCACCCAAACCGGAAGAACGGCTTGCTTTTTATAAACTTAGTGGCATGTTTTGTCCTCAGGGAATCCAGAAAGGAGATCATTTAATCTCAGCATATCTATAAACTTGTGTTTTATTCTGGTTATTGTGTTTGGGTTTACCTAATGGGGTCCTCGTCTAGGGTTTCTGGGGTTTCAGTCTGGCAGGCCGGTCCACTCCTTTACAGAGGGACAGGACCTCATTAGGGCGCTGTCTGCCTTTCCTCTACTATAAGTTCTGCTTCCAACGATGCTCTGTGACCCCAAATTTCCCATGTGTAAAATAAGGGACTTGAGTTAGAAGATTGCGGCGATTTTTCTGCCCTACATCTCTCTGATTCTCAGAACCGGAGGGGAGGCGCCCGCAACTCCTGAAGACCTTCCGTTCTGAGCTTCTTTGGTCCTTACCCCATCACTACTGCCTCCTGGGCTGCAAAGGACACGTTTCCGGCGGCCTCCTGAACCGGTGGCCTGGAGCCCCAGTTCCTGTAGCCGGAACACTTACCCTCCTCCTACTCCCCCCAGCCCCTAGCAGGCGAGGCGCCCCGGGGAGTTCGCAGCTGCAAGTTCGCTCCTCCCTCGTCGGAGCTGGCTGGTGAAGCGCGGCCGCCTCCGCAGCAGCTCGGAATCCCGCCCGCGAGAGCGCGCTCGGTTGCGCTGGGTGGAGTGGAGATTGCGGAGAGCTGAGATTAGGGGTTGATGGGGTGGCGGGGCTGCCACGTCCAGCTGGTCTCCCAGGCACACAGTGAAGGGGATGTTCCCTCTTTGACTGTGCCCCAGGGCGCCTCGGAACCCAGTGGACGCCCAAACCTCCCACAAATGTAGGCTGCCACGCTACCCTTCTCCTCTTCCTGGGGTAAAAGGTGCTGCTGCTCAGCGCCTTAAGGCCGCCCACCCAGAACTGGGTCGGCCCGAGGCCTCGGCTGCCTCCAGCGGAAATTAGAAACTCCGTCTGAGTGGCAGGAGGGCTCCACCCTGAGGTGAGAACCGCTTTCCAGCACAGAGCCTCAGCTTCCCCCCCAGGCAAAGAGAATGGATGCCTCACTGGCATCTCTAGGGCTCCAAGCAGCGAGTAGTCAGCTTGAGGTGCTCACGAGGCCCTCTGTCAATTACAGAAGGGGGCTTGTTCTTACACTGCAGATGAGAAAAGCTGTATGACTTTTGTCATGAAGAGTCAAGATTGTGCATAACTTTCAAATTACTCAGCCACATTACACCTGCTTCAGACTGGGAGGGGCCTTCTAGCTAATGTGCAGGGCAGGGAATGTTGGGAAGACTGAGGGAGACTGGCTGGGGGGTGGGGTGTAATAATCACCCCCACCTTACTCCTCTTTGCTCCCTCTTGGCTGACAGCTTCCCTTCCTTGGAAATCACAGTTCTTGACTGGACCTCCTCCTCACACATCTGTGCTGACTTCAGTTCTGGAAAAATTGTCCCCCTCACCTCTTTAGGCGCAAGACAGATCCCCTGTCGATGCCAAAGCATTATGCTACATCTTATGTTCTCTCCCCCTTCAGCACCTTTGCAAGTAGGTCTTTTATTACACTCTCCTCAAAGTATGCAATTGGAGTGTGCCATGTCTTTCCAGCTGGGACCTTGACACCAAGACTGCATCACTTTTCCTTATCTAGTTCCCAACCCCTTGCAGGCTGTGTGATTTGTGGAGAGGCCCAGGGTTGGAGGCTGTGTCCTTCACAGAATCACAATGGGGAGAGGGGAGGCACTTAATCACCTTGGAGAGTGATCACCAAACCCCACACTGACCAGCACGGGCCTTAGCTCCTCCTCCTGCTAGTCACAATGGAGGAAGTTGTTGGCTCTTCCATTACCTTCTACCACTGTCCTGCAAATATCTTCCACCCCTCTTCCCCTGGTATGTTTTTGAACATGGAAATCCTCCAAGACCAATCCTGTCTTCAGCCTTCCTGCTCTGAGTTGCTGGACAAAATTGTGCAATTAAGAGAACTGGTTCCACTTGAAGTGTCCCAAAGCAAACTTCTTGTGGGCAGCTAAAGTTGCCCTTCCCCTCTTCTAAGTGTCTCCAGAAGGCCCACTTTCCCACCCTGAGACAAGCTTGACTTTTCTTCTCACCCACAACAGATAGCAGTTCTCAAACTTCTTTGATAACACAGACGATGCCAGGGGACTGTCTGCATCTTCCTGCCACCAAACCCCACAGTGACCAGCACCTGCCTCAGCTCCTTCTCCCGCTAGTCACAAAGGAGGAAGTTG